CTAGATAAGTGTAACTTTCCTGACAATAATTTTTATACATGAACTAAAGCAATTTTTTCACAAAAGAAACATGTTAGATTGGGTCGTCTCAATTACAAAATTGATGGATCAGCCCAATAATATTTGGGCCTAGCAGGCTGTCCTATACATCATATTTCACCGTCACATATAAAAATCCCATTTTCCACTTGACATCAAGAACCCTAGCTGTGAAGTGAAGCACACACCAAGACCAAGAGACGACGATTTCCACCAGCAGCCCTAGCCATGGTATCGGTTAATTTCCTACCACTACACCACGCCATTTTACTCGTACACTTTTTTCAGTTCCTTTTCTTTTAGTCCCTTTTTTTAGATTTTGAATATTGTTGGATCCGTTTTGTGCAGGCGGACGTTGAGACTGATGTTGCTGGGCAGCCAGCGAAGAAAAGAACGTTCAAGAAATTCAGCTACAGAGGCACCGATCTCGATGCACTCCTCGACATGTCTACTGATGAGCTCGTCAAGCTCTTTCCTGCTCGCCCCCGGAGAAGGTTTAATCTGATCTCTTTCCTTTTTATTTTGGTAAATGCCGATGGATGTGCTCTGGCTTTGGGATGTGTCATTATCATGTTTTTACTGTTTATATTTGCTGATTAAATTAGTGTTTAGCTGCGGACTATGTTGCATTTTTAGTTGTTTTTCCTTTCTTTTTTTATCCCTCTTTGGTTGTTATGTGAATGTTTTGAGGTCTAATTATGTGCTGAGGTCTGGGTGGGTTGTGTTAAATTTTTCAGTGCGTTAGATATGAGTAACAATGTATAATGTTTTGGTGATGACATGACCATATGACTTTGGATGGTATTTAGTGGTTTGAGGATGTATCAGTAACAATTTTTAGGAACTCTGTAGTCTTGTGAGGTGAATCATTGTGTGTTGGCTGGATATGTAGTGTGCTGTTGATAGCTGAATTGGAATTACTGCTTTATGAATTTCCACGTGTTTCTATTCCAATGTGAAAACTTATGTGTGAGCTGAACCCATGTTACTGCTTGCAGGCTTTATATGTCAAATTATCGTTATTTATACTCCTTTCAGTCAAAGATATGCCTTTTTGAAGTTATGATGTGGCTATATAATATATCGAAAGTTTTAAGTATTATTTAAGATGTTTGTGTGCATCGATTCTGTTTTATTGTTCTAGTGGTACTTATTTCTGCATCGATGTGACTTTGACACTGGCATAAACGCACAGGTTCCAGAGGGGTTTGACAAGGAAACCAATGGCTCTGATCAAGAAACTGAGGAAGGCAGTAAGTGATCAATGATATGAAATACTGCTTAGACGATGTTCTACTTATTTGATTTTGCCTACATTCTATCACGTTTTCATTTTATTTCATTTGTATTCACTTTTTTGTTTCTGGTTCTTGCATGAGTTCATAAAGTGTATATCTCATTATCAGCCTTGTTCTACATTACCCCCTTTTGTGTTTATTGTGCTTATTTTCTTGATGTGGTATGTTTTCAGTCCCTTCCATTTATTTTGCTTCAATATGCAAGATTGTATTTTTTAAACCATCATGCAGTCATCATTATAGATTTTCAGTTTGTACCATTTGCATTATCCCTTTTTGTGTTTATGGTGCTTATTTTTCTTGATTGAGTATGTTTTCAGTCCCTTCCATTTATTTTGCTTCAATATGCAATATTTTTTTTTTTAAACCATCATGCAGTCATCGTTATAGATTTTCAGTTTGTAGCTAATGGTACCATATGGCACATTTTGCAGAAACGTGAGGCCCCAGCAGGTGAGAAGCCAGCCCTTGTCCGGACCCACTTGCGAAATATGGTCATTGTCCCTGAGATGATAGGAAGTGTTCTTGGTGTGTACAATGGCAAGACCTTTAACCCAGTTGAAATCAAGCCTGAGATGATTGGCCATTATCTTGCCGAGTTCTCGATTTCATACAAGCCAGTCAGGCACGGTAGACCAGGTATTGGTGCCACACACTCTTCTAGGTTCATCCCTCTCAAGTGAGAACTGCAAAGAGAAGACAATGGGAAGAAAATAATTTTATTCGTGTTTGTTCTGTACTAGCTTATATTTTGTAAGGTGCTGGAGCTTTATTTAGTTCTGTGTTACCAGTATGCGAACACTGGCTGCAACCTTTTCGAATGGATATTAAAGCATTTTGTTTGATTGTGTGTGGAGAGATTGTTGAATTCTTAGCTCTTGTTATTTGTTTCAAGTTTAATGCCTAAAGTTGCAGTGAATTCTGAATTATGTTATGTGGAATTTTTGTTATGAATATTATGTTATTTCTATAGTGAAAAGAAGTGGTGAGAGTAAGTGCTTTAGGGTTGTTTAACTGTTTTTACTTTTTAGTAAGAGTTACTACTAAATGTGGCATGTGTGTCTACTATCGTTGTTACAAGTATTGCTAAAAAATTTAGTACTAGATTTTTCTTGGTTTATGTGATTCTGAGTACTTTGGTGCTCTATCAATTTTGGGCTTAAGGTGGTGTTCAATTTTCATATTGTGTATGTGTAATCTAGTAATGTTTTTGCAGACCTTGATATTTTAGTTGGAGTAAACATTCAGTCTACTTATTTTGATAACTTATATATCATTGTGAGTGTTTAGTTTATTTGTAGTAATTTATTTTCTATGCTTATTATATAGGCTAATTGTAAGAAAAAAATTAGACAATTTTTGCTATTTTATTAGTTTTTTTTGCCTCTATACTTGTCGGTTGGTTGTTTGNATTAAAACATGAACTATTTATCAATAAGTAGCTAATTGTCAGATATAAATGTCGGATTTATTTATTTAAACAAAAATAAAAAAAAAATTAAGTGGACAAAATCAAAAACAAAAAAAAAATATAGACAAAAATAAAAAGGGCGTAGTACGTTTTACTGTTAAATTAGAATAAAACGTATTCACATAATAAGTTTTGAAAAAAATTAATAAATAAGACGTATTTTGGTTATACGTTTTACAAATAATTAAGTACTAAGAAAATAATTAAAAACTAAAACGTATTATCATAATACGTTTAAGTTACGTAAAACTTAAACGTATTTTGATAATACGTTTAAAATTAATGAATAAAAAAATTAATAGATAGTATGTGTTTTGTGTTTTGTGCTCGTTTGGCCTCGTCTGAATTCGGAATTAAGTTCTGTTTTTTCCTATACGTAGCTAACGAACCCCTCTATTTAATGATGCATGCATGACCAAATTATTCTTGAAATCATATTCTCCCAAAGCTCTTGACCTACACATTAAACGTGTTTCGCACGACTTTCCTTTTTGGGCTCGTTCGGCCTCGTCCAAGCACGAAATTGATTTCCGCTTCTTCCTATATGTCGCCAACGAACCCATGCACACAACCATGATTGCCCGGTCAATTTTCGGGCTAAATTTATTCATCACGGGCTAAATAATTAACAAATCACCCATTATATAAATAGATGGTGCACAGAGGATTTGTTAATAGATGATTTGTTAATTATTTAGCCCCATGATGAATAGATTTAACCCAAAAATTGATCGAGCAATCATGATTGTGTAGATGAGTTCGTTGGCGACATGTAGGAAGAAGCGAAAATCAATTTCGAGCTTGGACGAGTCCGAACGCGCCCAAAAGGCAAAGTCGCGCAAAACACGTTTAATGTGTAGGTTAAGAGCTTTGGGAGAATATGATTTCAAGAATAATTTGGTCATGCATGCATCATTAATTAGAGGCGTTCGTTAGCTATGTATAGTAAAAAATAGAACTCAATTCCGAGCTTTGACGAGTCCGAACGGGTGTTGTTGTCGTTCGCGGTCACGGCGTCCTCGCCCTGTGTAACTGTGTACTTTGGGATGGGATGTAGTCCTCCTTGGATAGAACTTGACTGAGCGATGCCCCTTGTGTGACCTCTTGGCCTCCAACAGTCAGAGAACTATAGGCAATGTTGTAGGACTGTTGGTCAGATAACTATAAGTAATGTTGTATGACTGTTGGAACGCGGTCTGCGCCCGTGTAGGGAGTGTAGGAAATATGTCTTAAATATTCGCTAACGAGTTATAAACCCCCTCCAGGGCTTGAGTCTGAAAATAAAATTCAAAGTATTTAGTATGAAACACAAAAATAAAATAAAATAATAATAATAAAAAAAAAACCACAAATTATGAACACTACATCGCACTTCTCCCGCTCGGCAACTGTCTGATAGCCGACGTCATGTTTGACCACCGTGTATTTGGTAGGGTCACTGATAAGTCTCACATTCCTAGTGTAAAACCAATCAATGTAACCCTACTCAGCCTGTAGGAAGTGATCCACAGGGGCATCTTGGAGGACATTTTGTTTTCTTTCATCACTCATCCCTTGGTAAGCTGTGAATGAAAGGCGTCCTGATCACCAAATGTCCTCCCAGTCATTCCACGGCCTCTGTGGTGTATCTCCCATTCTTTCTCACCACTAATCATCGGATTTTGGGGGATGAAATGCTGACACCCAAACTGACGGAGAACCTTATCAGACAAGTGGACTTCACGTATGTTCCAACAGAAGATCCACCCCCTATACATCCAAATATGTTGATCTTCTGTGCAATCATCCGGGAGAGTAACTATAGTTCTCTGACTGTTGGAGGCCAAGAAGTCACACAAGGGGCGTTGTTCAGTCAAGTTATATCCGAGGAGGACTACGTCTCATCCTAGATTACACAGTCACATAGAGCGATGCATCAACCCGCTGCCAACATTGGTGGAGGTAGAAGACGCCGTGACCGCGAACGACAACAAGGCCCGTTCGGACTCGTCTAAGCTCGAAATTGAGTTACGTTTTTTCCTATACGTAGCTAACGAAACCCTCTATTCAATGATGCATGCATGACCAAATTATTCTTGAAATCATATTTCCCTAAAGCTCTTGACCTACACATTAAACGTGTTTCGCGCGACTTTGTTTTTTGGCCCGTTCAGACTTGTCCAAGCTCGTAGTTGAGATTCGTTTCTTCCTATATGTCGCCAACGAACCCCTCTACACAACCATGATTGCCCGATCAATTTTCAGATTAAATCGATTCCTCACGGGGCTAAATAATTAATAAATCACCCATTAACAAATCTTCCATGGACCATCTATTTATATAATGGGTGATTTGTTAATTTTTTAGCCCGTGAGAAATAGATTTAACCCAAAAATTGACCGGGCAATCATGGTTGTGTAGAATGGTTCATTGGCGACATATAGGAAGAAGCGGAAATCAATTTCGAGCTTGGACGAGTCCGAACGGGCCCAAAATGCAAAGTTGTGCGAAACACGTTTACTGATATCGGTCAAGAGCTTTGGAGTACATGATTTCAAGAATAATTTGGCCATGCAAGCATCATTGAATAGAAGGGTTCGTTAGCTACGTATAGGAAAAAACGGAATTTAATTCCGAGTTCAGATGAGCCCATATAGCCCAAAACACAAAATACGTACTACATATTAATTTTTTTCCATTAATTTTAAAACATAAACGTATTATCAAAATATGTTTTATTTCTTAATTATTTATATAAAGCATTTTAATAATACATTTTATTTCTTAATTATTTATAAAACGTATTATCAAAATACGTTTTATTTATTAATGTTTTATACTGTTTTTTCAATTGTTTGAAAAAAAAATAGCATTTTACAAATATAATTTTAAAACATATTACCAAAATACGTGTTTTAAGAAAAAATTAATTAAACAAACGTATTATGAGAACTAGTATGTGGCCCGTGCGATGCACGGATAAATAATATTAAGTAATAATTATAAAGACGATATAGGTAAATAATATGTATCCGTTTAGGAATTTAAGATTTGAGACTTTTAAGATGGTCAAATTTTAGAGGAATACTATGAAATCTTAAGTGTGAATGTGAGATTTAGAGTGAAATTTTGTATAATGTTTTTTTTTTCTTTTAAATCATAACTAATCTTAAAAAGACCTAACAAATCTTGATCTCAAATAAGTTAAATATTTAAGAATATTTTAATATTTTTTTTTGATTTTTAAATATCAAAGCTGAACCGCTTTTGTTACCAAAAAATGTGGACACAATTTTGAATATACATCCCGTCCAAATATCAGTTTTATTCTAAAATAAAAATTACACGTGGCTTTATCCAATTTACACACTTTTTTTAAAGAAAAAATTATTCAATAAGATTAGAAGAATTGGTTAAGAATTATACAACTATTTGTTTCCAAAATTTATATCCAATTTGTACGGTTTTTAAGTTAATTTGTATTTAGAATTGTTTTCATAAATAATTGACACATTTTTTGCATAAGAATCTCAAAGTTGTTACCAAAAAATATATGATTTAAATTTTGGTAAAAAAAATAAAATATGATACGAAAAAAATGAAATTCAAATTTTGCCATAAGAATCTCCAAATTAGTTACAAAAAAAATAGGATTCAGACTTTGTTACTAAAGATTCACATGTATTTTTTTGAACTTTCCATTAATAGTAAGTCAAACATTATATTTATTTGGTCAAACTTTTTATTAATGTATTTTTCCAACAACCTCTTTATATAGATATAGATATAGATATAGATACGTGTTTTTTATTTTTGTCTACAATTTTTTTTTCTTTTTTATTTTTGTCCAGTTATTTTTTTTTTTATTTATTTATATATATATAAACTACCCTATAAATGTCTGGGCATGATTGCTCTTCAACTTTCATATTGAATGGTGGTTTGGCAAATGCGCAATGATTTCACAAACAATTTGCTCTATGCACATAGTATTGCTTCGGGCACGATTTCTCCATCTACCGGTATGCATGCAATCTGATAATTTTTTTGCCATGGACATTTGTATGGGAACAACCACAATTATACTCGAGTTAGAGTTCTCATTGTCCACAAAATATCACTTGGTTTATTCAAGTTTATCTTCAATATATTTGTTGATTCTGCCATCATCGTTGAGTTGCTTGGAATTATCAATAATATTTTATAACGTTTATAGACGAATATTCTAGATATAGTTTTATATATCTCATTCATAAAAAATCACAGTCATTGGACGAAAACTATCAAATTCTATAAGAAAAAAAAGTTGAGAATCAACCCAATAAAAGGATTAAAACTATCAGATCTGATTGTGAGTTGATGGTTCAAGTGAACAATGTCGAGGACCGTTTGCAAAATTCCTAGAAGAATGCGGTATCGGTCCCACAGTACACTATGTCGAGTTCGCCCATTATGAATAGTGTTGCAGAGAGACGAAATAGACGGATCTGATAAGGAGTATGCTTAGTCATTCAATCATGCTGCGATCACTCTAGAGAGGAACACTAAGGGGGCGATTGTATATAGATTGTACAGTAAAAAAACTAATCAAAACTCAAATTTAACTCAACTTTAATTCAACTCAACTATCTCCAATATTATCAATATAATTAAATATTATCAACCAATCATTCTTACACATCACATCAACTTTAATTCACTATTCATCCACTCACATAATTTTAACTAACTATCACTTTCAATAATTTTCTCCTACCTTTACATTAAATCAATTTTAATTATTTTATTTTAAATATTATTTTAATATATCCACTAACAACTAACTATACCACATTTTTTCAAACTTAACTATAGTTAAAAAACCAATTTTTTACTAGTAGAATTCATATCCAATCACCCCCTAAAGACTGCGGGTATATTCATGATAAAGTTGCAATAGTCTCTACAAGTTGGTATAAATGTGAATTTTGTGAAATTGGTCGGGAAAAAGTATATTAAAAACTTAATAGATTCAATTAAAAGTATAATAGTAATGTGCAACATTTTTGTTAATATTAAGTGAATGTATATTTATATTTATTTATAATTATAAACTATAAAGTGTAAATAGCAACCGCAAAAAGTTTATAAACTATAAACTAATCCTTCGAACTCGCAGTTTTACTAGTCTGCAGTTCGTTTCCCTTTTAACCTCCACAAACATACGCACTCACTACACACAGTGCCATTCGAATGTTAGATCTTTATCGTCTTCAGTAACATCTATCCCTCACTTTGTGTGTATTTTCGTTCTTTCTTTTTCCTTTTATGTGTATTATATTGTTTAAAGCGGCATGTGGACTGGTCGTAAAAGAAAGTATCTCACCTCATCTTTAAGCTAAATTTATCGTAGGTTTTATATAAATTACTCTTCTTTTTCCTGGTTCGTGCAATCTTTGACTGTTTCGACAAAATTTATGTTGGGGTTTATGGAGGTTTCCGACAATAATTGAAGTCTTAAAAAATCTAAGACAACGTGCTAATGTTCTGCGTTGGCCTCTCGTGCTTTACTGTTCATGTGTAATTCAATGTTCTCTTCGTTTATTTGCCAAACTGCCACTTCTGTTTTTCCTGTTTGTTTTTCTCCTCTCCATGCCCTTTCATTAGATATTGAAATTATTAAGCATCTATAAGGGCTTTACAAATGTAAGATTGAGAAAACTTGCCTAAGAGTTTTCTTTGCTTAGGATTGATACTCTCTCGAAGACTTCCTCGCAGGTTTATCTTGTAATGTGTATTTTGTTATTTCTTGGATTTTTATCTAATAGGATAGGGAGTTTGAAGGGCAGTTATAATGGGTAAGAAGAAAATGGGGACCTTATATTTTTATGTCATCTATTTTCTGGAAATTGAATTATTCTGATTCCCACTTTCAGGTATGAATTTGTTTGTTCCAGCTGCCTAGAAATCCAAGCTGTGCTTGAATTCCTGAAAATTTTATCTTTTTAATCTTCTTGCTGGAATTGGAATTCCCGAGCAATACTTTCTAGTTGGATTTTTACGGGTTAGAGAAACTATGCAAAGGGATACTGGTTCTGGTGGCCCATCAACACCCACTGGTCCTACTGCTCGGTTACGCAGACGCAGAGGTTCAAATGTGGTTAGTTATCCTTTTTTTTTTTTTTTTTTTTTTNTTAACCGATATCATGAACCATAATCTTAGCTTGTTCCTTTTGTCAGTTGCATTACTTTTGGTGGACACTTGTTTTCTGTAACCATTGTAACATGAGATAAGGGAGGCCTTGTTACCTTTAAGATGGATTAGTGGTTGAGTTATTTTGTGAATTAGCGGTTGAGGCCTTCGCATTTTGATGCTGAAATATTTATGCTGTCGTAAAAGCCAAGATCATTCCTACGTTTAAATAACTTATTAAAAGCTTTTCAACTGAAATATTTTAGCATTTGACAGTATCTTCTAAACTTTTCTTTTCTTTCTTTTTGCCCGTTCTAATATAAAACACTCCAGGTCCCTCTGGAAGTTGAGAAAGCTGATGGCAGCCGTTTACTTGTTAATGATCGTAACAAGTACAAGTCGATGTTAATCCGTACATATTCAACCGTTTGGATGATTGGAGGCTTTGCATTTGTAATATACATGGGTCACCTTTATATCTGGGCCATGGTAGTTGTTATCCAAATCTTTATGGCAAAGGAGTTGTTCAATTTGCTTAGGAGAGCACATGAAGATAGAAGACTCCCTGGATTCAGGCTCTTAAATTGGTAGGTTGACGTAGTTTTCTATCAGACTCTTAATTTTTTGTTTTTGTTCATAACTATGGCTTCCTATCTTGTTAAAATAACTGTGGTTATTAAACAATATATCTTGTTGGATTTCTTTTGACATTTAGTTATATATTGCCCATAGATATCTTTCATGCATGCAATTTCCTTCTTTTTTAAAAGATTTTTTTTTTTCTCAGGCATTTCTTCTTCACAGCAATGTTGTTTGTCTATGGTCGTATTCTCAGTCAGAGGCTCGTTAACACTGTGACTACAGACAAAGTTCTGTATAAGCTCGTGAGCAAATTTATCAAGTATCATATGGTTACTTGTTATTTCTTATATATTGCAGGTTGGTACACTTGCCTATACAGTATTATGTAATTTTGTGATAACTATATTTAGGATGACGGCCAATAGTTATGATTTTCCCGAGGGCTGTAACATGCTTGTTTGCCATACTATTATCCAGCCAATGTAGACTTTAGCTTGTTAATCATTGAAATAATTATTGGAATATCTGTTCCATTGGTTTATGCAGGTTTCATGTGGTTCATCCTTACGCTGAAGAAGAAAATGTATAAGTATCAATTTGGGCAGTATGCATGGACACATATGATTTTGATTGTGGTGTTCACGCAATCGTCATTTACTGTGGCAAATATCTTTGAAGGAATTTTCTGGTAATACAACTTCAACTTTTCATTTTTAGCTTACTAGTCAAATTAGAAATTAACTACTTCTCCACCATTCGTTTCTTTTTATTATGGTATCTCGTGTGAAAATGTGTTCTCACCATGTCGGCCCCTGTGTGACTTATCCTATATGACTTATGGTTGAAGAACCTAAGAGTTTTTATATTCAAATTTATTAGGCGGTTAAGATTTTCAGGGATTGGTTAAGAGAAGTTTCATGATAGTGTTAAAACTTCAAACGAAGTTGACGATAATGCAGGTTCCTTCTGCCAGCATCTCTCATCGTCATAAATGATATTGCTGCCTATATTTTTGGGTTTTTCTTTGGAAAAACTCCCCTGATCAAGTTATCACCAAAGAAAACATGGGAGGGCTTTATTGGAGCTTCTGTTGCTACCATGATTTCAGCCTTTCTGGTGAGAATTCATCTTTTTATTGGACTTAGACTTATATAATGTACGTTCTTTGACTGACTTAGATAAATGGTTGTATAGTCTCTTGTTACAAGTTACTAATGATTTTACTTGTTATTAGCTAGCAAATATATTGGGTTGCTTTCAGTGGCTGACGTGCCCAAGAAAGGTAATTGCTCGATTATATCCTCTCTTCTGTGTTTTATTTCTGTATGTTTGGAAGCTTTAACTATCTTGTGACCTTGAATAGGATTTATCGACTGGCTGGCTTCAATGCGACCCTGGGCCATTGTTTAGACCTGAAAGTTACTCTGTTCCAGAATGGTTTCCTGAATGGGTAAATATTGTCCAAATCCAATCTAGTTTTTCAAATATTTCCTTGAGAATAAAACGAAGATAATTTATGTTATTTAGTACGGACTAGTTCTTAAATATTATTTTTTTTTTCTTTTCTATTGATTGTTTTTACATATGTTTAGGCAAAAGAGTCTACTCATAAAACAATAATTTATTCTTTTGTATGCAACTTACAACTACTTACTTTATTTTGCACAAGGTAAGTGCTGAACCTTCTAAAAAAGAGCATTCATATGTTATAATGTCGTTATTTTCAAGAAAAAAAAAAAGTTTTGAAATAACTTAAAACTAAAATATCTTTAGTAGGCATAATGACAAAGACCTATTAGAATCCTTGTCTGCGATCATAACTAGGTTTGGTGCTTTTGCAAGGCTGATGCAAAGCCTGTTCTCATGTTGAAAACTACCATCATCATCCTCTTGAATCTTGCAGATATTTTACATTATAATTTTAAGTTTTCATATTAGTTAAACTATGGATGCTCACGGGCTTCTCTGTAAATCGAGTTTTTGCAGTTCCCTTGGAGAGAGATCTCTGTATTGCCTGTACAATGGCATGCATTGTGTCTTGGTCTTTTTGCATCAATTATAGCACCTTTTGGAGGATTTTTCGCAAGTGGCTTTAAGAGAGCTTTTAAGATCAAGGTCTGTTGTTGATATCATCATTTTTCCGAGCTCTGAACCAACTTTCATGTGGTTTTCTTTTGTCACTCTGTAGTGTTCCTATTCTCAAGTTCAATTACCATATTTTACCATTTTATTTTTAAATGTTCTTGTAGGATTTTGGTGATAGTATTCCTGGACACGGTGGCATCACTGATAGAATGGATTGCCAGGTGGATTTTATTTTATTTTTATTTTATTTGAAGGCTTAGTATGAACTACATGGTTATATTTACATGAATTATAACTTACTAATGCGTGGCCCAATATATTTTTTTACCGCCTCTATTATTCACGTTTTAATGAATATGAAGTTAGACTATACACACTATTTTCATGTATGAGTAATTGAAATTGATACTCTATGGGTGTGCAAACCGTGTCACAAGATTCTCGTTCACTAACCACAAGAACAATAATGAAGAACACTTGTTATGGAATACACTTGATTTAAAAGTTTCTAGTTTGAAGTTTTTGATGGAAAAAAGAAACATATTGGTAGATAATGAGTAAAATAATATTGTGACCTAATTGGTGAGCATCTAGCTAATAAAGGACTGGGCAGTATGTAGCCCT